AACGCTCGGGCAATACTTCTACTTTTTAGTGAACACGCGGTTTTTTTGGAAACGACCGCTCGCAATACTTTTACTTTTTAGTGAACTGGAAATTTGCATTTCAACCCAGGCTGGAACGGCGCTCGGGCAATACTTCTACTTTTTAGTGAACTGGAAATTTGCATTTCAAAAAATTTGCTTTTGATTTCAATTTTTCAATGAACTAAAAATTTGCATGTTTTCAAAAATCCGTTCTCAGCTCGGACCTTAACCGCAAATTGTATATGTAAACGAACGCGGTTTTTTGGAAACGAACGCTCGGGCAATACTTCTACTTTTTAGTGATCGCATATGTAAATGAACGCGGTTTTTTTGGAAACGAACGCTCGGGCAATACTTCTACTTTTTAGTGAACACGCGGTTTTTTTGGAAACGACCGCTCAGATACTTTTACTTTAGTTTTGATGCAAAAACGCATGATCGCACCGGCTCGCCTGGTGCGTTCCAGCCCTACTATTATCATGAATTTCTTCATTGTTATTATCATTATTGTTACCAATCTAACTTTGTTTACTTTCAATTTTAATCCAGGACTTAGCGCAGTTATTGCTGTTTGTGTCAAGAGTCAATGAAGAATGTTTTAGAATCCCAGTGTAAACCAAAAAGCCTTCGTTCCCACTCCCTGTGTCAGGCAGACAATCTCAAAAGTAACCCGAATGTAAGCAGCACCGGCCAGCAAAAAGCACTCGCTTGCAAGCCCCTCTATGAGTCGCTTTTCCGAGGATTCCTCAGAAGCAATCCGGTGGCGTATGGCTGTACCAATTATCCATCACAATAAATGAACGGATCGTAGAGGCACCGACTGTACCACTGCCATGATTAAATCTTCAATTTTCTTCCCGCCTGAGCACAGCGCGCCACCGACCACTCTCTTCAAACCCAGCATTTACGAGATAGTTTGACACATGTCTCGGCCGGCTAGGACAAAAAAGTGCACACCGTCTCTGAACCGCTGGTCAAAGTGACGCAGCGTTTGCTTGATATTTTGGAGGGAAGAAGTGGACGGGGATGCGGTATCTGGGTTCAGGGTGCTGTTTGAGTAGTGCGGTCAGTGACTGAGTGCGCATGGTAGTGTCGGTCAGTTTTGCGAAGGAGGAGGTGTCCCGTCCTCTAATTTAAAGGCTGTTTTGTACGAGGGTGAAAGGTGTGGCCTGGCATGCTTGAACGGGGCCCAAAACTGTAAAATGGCAGCCGATCAGATGACTGATCACTTGATAACTTATCATCGTGCTTCCGGATCGGCCGCAGTGCATCTGTTCAGTTAATTGCTGTAAACCGTTGCTGCACATCTCACACGCACACTGTGGTGTGTGTTGAGCTTTGTCCGAGATGGAGTCTCGATGCAGATCTCCCGGACACCACTGGGACCAACAGCGGCAGACGGCGGGGCAGTTACTAAGGTTCAAAGTTCGATGACGAGGAACGAGGGAGTTGCGATGAATTTGGGAATGGTGTGCAGAGGGAGGCAGAGTTGGATGGCAGGGGGGCATGCTGGGATGTTGACTGGAAAAGATCTTGCTTGAAGAGGTAGAAACTGCGAGGGAAAGAAGGGACGGGGTATTCAGGTTTATGGTGCTAAGCAACAAAATAGACGTTGAGGGAAATTCAGTAAAAACTTCAGCTTGCATTCCAAAATTTCAGCGGAAGAAAAAATCGGCAACTGCTAAAATTCGGTTTCGCCCTACTGGGTCGGGGAGCGTTGCAGTGACTGGGTTGGTGTGGAGGACTGGAGGTGGGGGTGAGGGAGGGGACTGGAGCTTCGATCTCGGGAGTAGCAGTGGAAGGGAGACGACGGGTTGGAACCCCGCCAGGGGGTTGGGATTGAAGACAGAGGCGGTCAAGAGGAGGAGGGAGCCTACATAGGTTTCTTATGCGTAACCTGAAATTTAATGCTGAGAACAAGTTTGCAGTTTTGAACGCGAGACTTGCCTCACAAATCGGGTTCTGCTACTCAAACCCGAATCCGAAAATAAGTGCATGTTGGGCGGCTAGCCCCCCCCTCCCCCTTAGCACTAAGTCTTGTGCTAAGCGCACCCCTCCCTCCTTCCCTCTAATGAACCCCGCCTCCGTCTCCAGTTCTCACCTCAAGCCAAGGCCTTCTTGGTCAGTAATCCGTTACCTGTCCTCCGTTGTGATCTTCTAGATCTGAGCCATCACCCCCTTCCCACACCCCTCTCCCTCGCCCTCCTCGCCTTCGCCCTTCCACTGCTGCTCCTAGGCATCGCATCTTGCTACCCGACCCGGGCGAACCGAGGCGAGTTTTAGTAGTTGCGCATCGAGGCTTGTTGTGTTGCGATTCCTATGCGTGAGGAATAGTTATTCTCAAATTATTTGGGCAGCTGTAATTCTGGCGCTGATTTCTGGATTCCTTAACTAGCGCAGCGTCGTTCCTTTTTCTGAAGAGGACTGCCGACTCAGCGGTTCTCCTGACAGAAGTACTTGGTACCCAGCGGTTCTCAGTAGTTCCAAAATTTGCCATTGCTCGACTGTGTTGCTAGATGCACGAAATTAGATGAATTTAAATGTTCAAACTAGTAGTAGTAGTAGTAGTAGTAGTAGTAGTAGTAGTAGTAGTAGTAGTAGTAGTAGTAGTAGT